TCCAGGCATTGATTTCCTAAATAAAATGGTAGAGAAATGCTCAGCATATAGTAAGGATAATAGTACTATTTTTCAGAAGTAATGCAAAAGAAGTTTTTAAGTTATCTAATACAGTTAAGAAGCGACATGCATTTGAGAAAAATAGCATTTTGCAAATGAAAACAGGGAAGATGAACAATGTGAGACTGAAATAAAATTAAAAACAGAAACAACTATTTAAAACTTTAGCAGCAATGAGTATTTATTATTTTGAATAAAATGTACATTGAACTTTTATATAAAAACCATCAAAAGTGCTATACAGGATTATATTAATATTAATTTAACCCCCCACATCATCTATTAGCTATACTTTTTATTTACTTCTATCCCATCATTGTCATCACCTGAAACTGTTCAATGTTACAATATAAAAAAATATTAGTTTATCTTTTAAGGTAAAGTACCACCAGGGATGAGTTACTGAGAGGGAAGAATAAAAATGAGACACCAGAGGACCAACATATGGAAAAACATGGTCACCGAACTTCCTACGGGTATGTGAAGTCCAAGGCAATGTAGACCTTCAGCAGAACTCGTTTTTTAATATATCGTCTTAAAGAGCGCGGGCTATCTCCTCAGGAGGTAGGAGGCCGTCGCGCCAGGATTATCTCATTATTTTCCCATCATCCCTCTGCTGCTTTCCCAAGTGACTCAAAGGCAGTCTAAGGTTGTGTATCTCCTACACCCTTCACCCAACGCATTTCAGGTACAGAGAAAGCTGGTTCTTCCATCTTTATAAACAGCCCTTAGGAATAAGTTTGTCGTTAAAGAAGTCATTCACAAAGAAGACCTTAAAGCAAACAGGTCATTCCTCACAGGCAGGACTCCATCCAGCCTCCTCCTTCAATCCACCTCCATCTTCCTAATCTGCTCCCATGCCAGGTGCATTCTCTTGCTCTCTGGTTCGGGATGAATGGGCCGTCCAAGTCAGAGCAAGATTGTCATGCCCCACACCCCATTTGGTCTCCTTCAGGCTTAAGCAAACAAGCTTCTCTGATTGGCCACCAGGGCCGTCTGACTCTCCCGCCGCTTGGTTTTCTTTCTCCTTTGTCTCACCTTCCAGCACAAGGCGCTAGAGGCTAACAGGAAAAGTCCCGAGGAGAGAAGAACCAGGCCCAGGATGGAGATAATGGAGCCGTGAGAGTTGAAGCTGTAAGCCACCGCGGTGACCACTATCCCAGTGATCAAGACCACCACGGCGAAGGGGATGATGCAGCGGTAGCAGGAGAGTTCCGCACCCCCTGTGGCAGCCATCAGCTGGACCTCACTGACCAGGGGGACTGTGGTGACCACCACTTCCCTCTTGGGGAGTTTCTCCATTGGCGCTGGGGAGAGAGACTTGGGAGCTCCTGGGCTCTCTTTCACGGGCTCTTCAGTCATGTTTCCAGTGGTTCTTCCTAGCTGGGTTCACGGCCTAGAGCTCCAGAGTCTCACCAGGGTGGAAGCTGCTGAAAGACAGGAAACAGAATCACCTAACTTCACCAGAGTGTGCCCTGCCCACGGAAGTCAGTAGAAGCACACACCTCCTTGCTGGGGGGTCCATGCCTGTGAAAATCAACCTTGTTTTTATCAAAGTGATTGCATTCTTTTCACAATGGAGCACCAAAAGCAAGCCGAAGCTGTTAAACACACAAAGAGAAAGATGTCCAAAGCAGGAAGACTCTTTCTGTGTTTTAATATTCTCTGGCAGTCTGCAATTTTTTTTTTTTTATAAGTGTTTGCATTTTGCTCATTGGTTGTCTTTATCCTAAACCCAGAAAAGCCCGGATCTGAATCCAGAGATGGCCTCACTTAAGAGGAGACTGCATTAGAAAACAGTTCACTCCACAACTCATAGCAATTTAAACTTGGCCAATTTTGCCGGGCATAACACACATTGTTTCCAAACCGTCACCCATTCACTGCCCTAGGAATCCGTGTCAGGACCAGCAGCCAGCCAGTGTACACATGATGCTGTCCTGCGTCACCTGACTGCCAACGAGTCTCCACTGTGTCACTACTAACCACAACGCAGCCAGTGCTCCAGCCTTTTAATCCCCTCCCCTCTCAGCAGATGGGCAGTTCAGCCAAAAGAAAAACAGTCAATGAGGTAAGAATTTGTAATAAAAAAACATGGCAACATCCTCTTTTCCATCTGAAAAAGGAAAAAAGCCCAAGCAGCTTCATGGTGTATAATTTTGTGTGTTTATGTTTCAGGTTAACAATAAACTCAACTCTTAGCTTTCAGTTTACAAATTCTGTCTCAAACTCAGCAGGAAATTTTGATATTATGCATGCAAGTTAATCATGTTTAAACAAGCATGCTGGATAGTAAACTTCGACATTCCTTCTTTCCCCGTGTGCTTATGTATAAAACTCACCCCTTTCTAAATATTTTGAACCTGAAAACTTCTTAAAAAAAGTTGATCGAAAACATCTGGCTAAAATGCTCCCAGGAGAAATCAATGACAAATTTTGTCTCTGATCACACATATGAAGTCCCGGTCTTACAATCCTAGAGAAGTTGAATAGTCATAGTGACCCAGAGTTCACAGGAAGACAGCAGAGGCGTTCTTAATGAGATTAATCCATTGAGTAGATTAAGCATCAAATGAAAATTAATGCAAGCTCCAATCAAATTTCACTGGTTCTTTCCAGCCTTGGGAAGTTAAAATACCACTCCCTGAAGCGATGAAACTGTTAGAGCTGCCCGCCTGAGTGTAAGCGCTAGTCACCAGATTAAAGCACTGTTCAATGACGGCATAAATTTTAATTAGGCCAATTAGAGGATATTTGATATCATTTCTGGAGACAAGAAAAAAAAAAAGCTTCTTCCCAAGGCTGTGGTTGTGCTAAGCTGAAAAGATGTGTCCCCAAACTATTTCCACCTACCTCAGAGGGAGGCTGTCCATTCCCAGGGAAACCCCTGGATTAGGAAGGAAGAATCAGCCCCAGTTGTGTGTCTTCCTTTAATTTCTGAGAGAAAACGAGCCTGTCATAGCGGTGTGGTCAGGAAAATGATGGGCCAGGCCAGGATTTCCTATGGAGAAAAGAAAAAAAATATATAAAAGTACTTTGCTGTGGGTCTGGTTTTGAATCATGGAGATCCCTCTGGTTTCAGGCTACCTCTGCTCCTAAATGACGCTTGTCCTTCCCTCCCCCTCTTTTTATTTCCTCCCCCTCAGGCCTGCCCCTCCCTGGCACCCCACCCCCTAATTCTTTTCCTTGCCAGCAGATTCCACGTTCCATCTTTCCCCTGCTCTGCCTGGTGACATGATAAGTAGGATCATTTCTAGGGTCCCCAGAGGTAGGCACTAGCCTTTACTTTTATTTCTTCTGCAGCATTTATGAAGCAGGCTGCTTGGAATTACTCATTTGTTCCCCAGCCAATCTCCAGATCTTCCTCCTCCCACCCAGCAGGCATTTTCAGAAGAGAATCCCAGAGTCAGCGAGGCAGACCCGCCAGAGGGGACAGAGCTGCAGGAGGGACAGATGCTCTGGGGAGGCACAGAAACTGCGGTGACGTCAATGAGCAGCTGAAATCAGCCAGGACATCAGGGAAAATGCACATTCCTAGGTCCTGTCTGGGTGATCCTTGGAAGCCTATCGCTCACCCCGCCCTCCTTTGATGCTAATTCATTTAGGAATGGGGGTGGGAAAGGCTAATGTTTGTGGTTAAGGGGGGAAACCATTGCACTTAACCTAAGTAAGATTGCTCGTTGGGTGAGCCTGGACGTAGCAACTTGGGCAGCTCTGAGGTCATCATTACAGTCTTGAACATTTAAAGAGCACCTCCTATGGGCACAGCATAAGGTTAAGAAATACCGCACACTGACAACAATTTGCATTAGTTTGTAAGTGAGGAAGTGACAACCCAGAGAGATTAAATAGTCTGAGCAAGATCACACAAGAAGAAAGATAATTTAGGTCTGAATTCCCCAGCCACGAATGCGTACATAAATGTTAAATGTAAATTCTCATTCAATAGGTTTAGGACAAGGTTTCCATCTATGTCTGTACTTAGATGTCTCTTGGCCCACTTGAAAGTGCAAAGTATTTTAAAACATTTGAGCATGTGACTCGACACCGCATATTCCCTCAAACAGTAAAGTTACAAGTCTTTTTCAGGTTGGAGATGTAGCTCAGTAAGGTTCAAGGCCCTGGATTTGATCCTCAGTGCTGATAAAAAAAAAAATTTTAAACATTAAAAGAATCTATTCTGACCACCATATATGAGGCTAATAGGGTTATGCTATTTTACAGACAAGTTATTTGAAATTTTAAAGTACTTGAAATACATGAAGCCCCAGATCATCTCTTGAAAAAAAAGAAACAGAGATAATACTGGGAGACTATTAGAAACCCCTCCTTGTACTTCTGTAGCAGAAAATTACCCGCTGCCCATTTTTTAAAATCCTTGCAGGTGTCACCAGCTCCTTATAATACACTGAACCTACAAATCCACTTTAACTCTCTGAAGAGATTTTTTTTTTCCCTTCTCTGGAATTGTCAGATTTCTCCAGCTGCTGGTATAGAGCTAGGATGTTCTCAGACTTCCTGTGATACCTTACTCATCCCAGCCTTGTCTAGTAACAATACCCAGATATTGTCACAAAGAGAAAGAACCCCTGGAACAGAAGCCAGAAGCGGGCTCTTCATTTCAAAAGCTAAAGCTGAAAAGCCCTCAGGGCCTGGCTGAGTGAGGAGCCCAGCATGCTGAGGTCTTGTCACTGTGGTTTTGAGATGTGGGGCCTCAGTGGACAAAGACATCAAGCATGAGGCACGCATCACTGAACCCTGAAGACCAGAGGCAAATATACTTAGAACTAGTGCATTTCAGAACTTTCCAGAGTGGCCTCAGGGGTCCAGTGATGGGAGGAAGGGGCTAATCGATCTGTTTTACTTTGTTTGAGAAAGAATCCCACTGTGTAGGCTGTGCCAACCTTGAACTCTACTGGCCTCAAACTCACTAACTCTCAATCTCCTGCCTTAGTACCCCAAGCGCTGGGACTACAAGGAAGGCTATTTTTCAGAAGAAAGAAAGAAAGAAAGAAAGAAAGAAAGAAAGAAAGAAAGAAAGAAAGAAAGAAAGAAAGAAAGAAGAAAAACGAAAGAAAGAAAGAAAGAAAGAAAGAAAGAAAGAAAGAAAGAAAGAAAGAAAGAAAGAAAGAGTCCAAGCACCACCTTATACTGTTGAAGATCACCTTTCCTCCTGAGATAGGTTGTGTGCACTCGGAAGGCTGAGGCAGGAGGATCACGAATACGAAACCAGCCCAGGCAACTTACAGAAACTTTGTCTTAATTAAAAATAATTTTAAAAAGTTGGGGATACAGCTCAGCGGTAGAGCGCCCCTGGTTCAATCCCCCATGGCTCCTCTCAATCATGATTCTGTTAGTAAAGCCGGAGTATGTGAAGCAGGCTTCTAGGAGTTGGCAGCACCTTTCTCATGGCTAGCCTAGGCTTATTCCTTACTGAGTGACAACGAGAATGGCCTTGTCCTGGGAACGCCCAGGTTCACTGTAATTTTGGATACCAAGCTTTGACTCGCTCCGGCTCCAGGTGACCTCCACTCCCCACCCTCCCTCTGCAAGGCCAGGGCCCATCTGCCTAGATATGCAAGTGCACACCCCCAGATTCCAAGCAGAGAATCAATTCGCAGTGATGAATTCAATGAAATAGGGAGCTTGGAGATCCAGCGGCAATGGTCCCAGAAGCTGCGATACCCTTCTCGGTAACTGCTTTAAGAGCTTTAAGGGCTTAAGAAACTTGACATCTTCAAATGGAAACTCAGAGGGGTTCCTTGTGATTCTTGCCTAGTGCCTGTCACTGTTTATTTTTCCTTGCACCCTGTCCCTGATAAGGATTAAACACCGCAGGGGTCCCTACGAGGACACCTGTCCCAAGCAGCGAAACTTCACCCAAAATACAACCACCTACGTTTTACCAGACGGCTCTTTCCAGCAGCCAGGGGAAATCTCACCGGCTCTTTTTTCTTTTTAGCTCGGGGTTTTCAGGAGTCTCCTTTAAGTTGGGAGAACTTGTTTAGAGCCTCAAGCGCATGAATGACACCAGTCCTCCTACCTCCAACCTCCGCCGTCCTCCGCGTTCTGCCCTTCTCTCCTAGATCTTTGAAAGAGCAAAGAAAAGATCCTTACCTTTCTCCGCCAGAAAGAGACTGAGACAGCTGCCAGCCCTGCGAGCCAGAGGGAGACGCTGCCGGCACTAGGGACCGTAAACAAAGTACTCAGCGAGGTTCAAATAGTACAATTAAGGGACCGAGACAATTTGGTGAAAGGAAATCCTTTAAATGCTGCTCTCTCTCAGACTGCAATCTATATTTTGCAAGAGGAGCATGAATTTAGGAAAGAACACACCCTCCTTTGTTTTTCGCTTTTATATCCTTATCCAGGCATTCATTTCCCGGGTTTTCCTCCCATCTAAAGCTCCTATTCTGTTCTCATGCGTCTGTCATCAAGCCGGCCTACAGTATATGATTCCTTTGCAAGATTTTTTTTTCCCCTATACTTCGGAGGGTGAGGGATTTGAAAAGCCTGTGAGGGTGAGAGGGGTTGTAACACAGTATCACGCAGGCAGTAAGAGAAGCAGTAGGAGGAGAAGGATTCCTGATAAAAATGCTGTTTGGTACCTGTGGGGACCTTCTCCCTACAGCCAGGGAAGTGACTTTAAGTGTTTTTCATCAGAGAATGCAAGGAAGTGACAGTGTATAGGAAAATCACATCTCTGCAGGGCTGAGGCTACCAAAGGTGTCACAGCCCAGAGCTGGGAACTTAATGGTACAGAAGGATTTCTCTGAAGTTAAAGAAAGAAATCATCTTTCTTAAAACTAAGAAAAAGTGATTTGCTGAGTAGAGGGTGGGTATGGAACTGAGGGAAGGCAGGGAGGGTGGCGAATACCAGGACAAAGAGGCCAGTGGCCTCTTGTCCTTTAGTTTACAAACCAGAGGCTCAGACTCTGCTCTAGGCTAGAAAGGGGCACATTTAATGTTGATGTTGCACATGTCCTGTTGACCTGGAAATGTCTCCTTGGAGAACCTTCAGCTTTGCAAGGAGGTCTCCCCACCCATGTGCATTCGATTACTCACCCATATTGCCTTTCAATTTGCTTTCCCTCATTGTGCTGTGCGGTTGAGTTGGCTGGTTTCCAACAGCCTGGGAGATGCCAGCTCCCCGCCCCCCAGGCCTTTATCCAATCACCACATGCCTTTGATTTCAGGGCATCACTGAGTTGATTGGATTCAGAAACCCGGCCAGATTTTCTCCTCTCCAGTGCTTCTTTTAGGGGTGTGGCTACCCTTCGGTCCTGAAATCATGGAAAATTTGGAAAGTGATCTGTGCTTTTGTGTTCATTTTCCTGAGCAGGTCATGCTACCATTCCCCCTCGACTCCTTGTTCTTTCCCTCCAAGGTGCTTTTCTTTGAGGTCCAGGACATTAAATAGAAATATCTGATGGTGACAAGAACAATGGCTATGCCTTGGGTATAAATGTATTTTATTATTTGCTGGTCAGTTTCCGGAGACCGAACTTCATCAGATAGAGCAGACAAAGAGCACATAGATCCTTCCCGTGCTCACCAGGACCCCGCATTCTCTTGAACATTTTTTCCTGTAAAAGATCACATGAACACAACCAAGCTGGCTCACGCAAGTTAGGTGGTGCGGTGGGCTTCGCCGAAAGACTTCATAAATCATCTCTCCCTTCAACAAGTAGTCATCAGCTGGGTATGGTGGTTCACACCTATAATCCTAGGACTCCACGTGGCTGATGCAGGGGGATTTCAGGTTCCTATTCAGCCAAGGAAATGCAGCATGTTAGCAGAGAACTAGCTCAAAATTAAAAAATGAAAAAGAACTCAAGAAAGAACTCAGTGCATTATGGTTTGTAACTAGGTGTCCCCCTAAAGTCTCACATGGTCCTAGGTGGGGCTTTTCAGAAGTGGCTGGAGTGAGGTTGGGTCCTGCTGGGCTCAAGGATGTGATGCTGGGAGTGATGCCTGGTGCGATGCTGTGACACAGGCTGCCCCAGCGTGGGGGTGAATGCTCCCTGCCCCACGGCTGGGTACCCTGGTAGGATGCGAGGGGCAGAACGAGGGCCTCTGCTTCTCCTTTATGCCTTGCTGCTTACCA